AGAAAGAAAGAAAACAGTTAGGAGCATTCATAGCAAGTGTTAGGCTGAAAGACACTTGGTTCTTGCAAGCCATCATACCATTTATGGATGTCTTGTTTTCTTCCTCTTTTTTTTCATGCTGATTGAAAGCAAATTAACTGATTTTCCTTATTCTCTTGTCATGTATTTCAGGCACTGGCTGCAGCATCCAAAACTGTTGATTGCCTTAAAATTGTCCATAGCTTGCATTCTTATTTTCTGCTTGTTGGGGATTTTAATTGTAAGTATATTTTATTTATCAGACTCAGAAATGCAGATAGTATCTCATGAATTATTTTTCTTTATTTTTTGTTCAATCCTACATTTAATATTTAGGCATTGTATTTAAACATGCCTGCATGAATGACCATGAGCATTGTTTTTAAAGTAGAAAGATAAATAAAGATCATTTTCCACTTCAGATCTCCATAAAAGGAGCAGCCTTATTCACTTTGGTTTCCAAGGCCCATCACTTCTTTGAAATTTTTATTGATTTCATGATATTGTTTGTTTTAATAAGAGTTTGTGAGAGACTGTATGATCTGGACAATTATCCATGCATATGCTTCAGACGCTAAGTGTCAAAGAACTTGCAAGTGAGGAAAGTGTGTTAAGTAAAATATATATATATATATATATATAGGTTGGTGTGAATAAGGCTAATTACCTTATACTTTTAAGGAATATATATATATATATATATATTTGACAAAGTTATAGTAGGAAACCTTTCTTAGGGTAATGTGAAGTCTAAAAATACTTTGCAGTGCCAATTTTATATCAAGTTCATCGTCTACGAGATGGTAGAAGCTTTGCTACCCGAAGAGTAGATGCAATACAGAAAGGAAATATCATATTCACATTACTAGCCTCCTTTCAGGTATTGCAGTTGCACCTTCTTTCATATGTTAGTTAAAATCTCCTTTTATGTATATTTCTTCTTTCCTAGTATTGTGCATCTTATATGAACTTGAGTTGTTCCAAACAGTTTTGATTTGTGAGTTATAAATATATGTGTCTTTTTGTCAGATTTCACCTTCTTTGTGTTATTCCCTTATTGCTTACCAAATGTGAATTGATGTTGAATTATAGTTAATGACTTGATTCTGCTGATTATATCGCTGAGTTAAATTCTTACACTGCTTTGCAGTTTGCCACTATTAGCAAATAGAGTTAGGCTTAGTGAAGGAGGAAATTATTAGAAATAAGGTGACATTGAATCTGTATTTTCTGTTCTGAAAATTTGATGCCACTTCTACCTTTTAACTTCTTTTCAAGGCTTCTGCATCAAGTCCTTATGGGCACACCAATTTTTTTTTATATTAGGATTCAAAAACTTGAAATACATAGATTGTAGAATTATCTATTAGCCTCTAGCACCTAATATATACCACTTTAATACTCTTCATGCCATTCTGTGCTTGGAAATGGGTGATCAAGTTAGCTCCAAAATGGCTACTCCAAACATCTCAAATTACTCTTAACTGTTAGTGGTAATATTACAGAAAGAATTGGAAGGGTTTGACCACCAAGAAGCAACAATGCCGTCTGTGCCAGCTCCAGAGATGGTAATTAACAGTTGCACCTGTTGATAGTTTTATAGTCAGTTCCAGTGGTTGGTGTTGAACTCTAATCCATTGCAGCTTCTATCGATGGAAGAGCTGCGGGAGAGACGTCTCACTGATCCTCGTCTTCCCAGGTAAGAATCATGCTACCTCATATTTATACTTATTTGGGTTCAGGAATCTTAACGCCTCATATGTTCTTCTTGTGGGCTAATTTCCTTAATTTAGTAATTTGGTCTGTGAGCTATAATCTTCCTGAGCCTAATGATTGTTGTGTATAAAGCTTTTACATTTTGATAATCAATAGCACACAAACAAGTTGATGATGTTCCAGAAGTTGGTTGTTTCAGGAGCTACCGTAACAAGGTGGCAACAAAAGAATTTGTTCCTTGGCCAATAGAGATAAGGTTCTGTGAACCTAACAGTTCCACCAACCAGACTAAATCCCCTCCATGGTTCGCCTGTTTTATTGTTCTAATTCAGGAGAAAAGTAGTCTTTATAATTTGCTTATATTCCTTTTTCTTGTTCATGCCATCTGATTTCACCATGATCAATTATCTTTTAGTTTGAGGTATTGGTTTAGAGCAAAAGGAAAACTTTCAGATGATCAGGCTTTGCACAGGTCAGTTATCATTTTTAAATGATATGCTTAAATTTTCCCCTATACCTGTCCACTAGCTTTTCTATTTAGCATTAGCAAATTCCCTCATCATTTTTCAGCATTTTTAAGGTAGCTTAAATGTGTTACAATCTCAAATGAGGTTCCTCCTTTTTTTTTTCCTTTTTCTTTTTTTTTTTCTGCATGTTCAGTCTTATTTGTCCCACTACAAATTTTAATCATACACAAAGTATAAGTTTGTAAATTGTAATGGAACAGCAACTTTAAGAAGCACTCTCATAATTGGAGTGTGCACAATGCTTTTCATATCTGTTATGGATTTCATATGACTCTCTGTGATTGGTGGTTTTCAGATGTGTAGTTGCATATGCTTCAGATCTAATATTTAGTGGCGTTAGTTTGAATCCCCATCGAAAGAAGGGCTTTAGGTCAGCTTCTCTCAGTCTGGACCACTCGTAAGTATCTGCAACGTATATGTATCTCCTTTGGAATGGGATTGAATCACATATTTTAATTCTTTCTTTTCCCCTTCTTAGGATGTGGTTCCATCGGCACCTTAGGGCTGATGACTGGTTGTTATTTGTAGTAAGTGTCAGATTGTGTTTATTCTCATGTTTTGGTTATCTCTTGCTTTTCGAAGAATAAACATTACTAACATATTCTTTGTCGTTCAGACTGTTAGTCCTTCAGCCTGCCATACCCGTGGCTTTGTCTCAGGACAAATGTTTAACCGAAAGGGAGAGGTAAGTATTTATAATAATATTAATATGGACACAGTATTTTCTTCTTCCTACAATTTTCTTTCCCTTCCCCTTTCTCGTAACAATTTTTGTGGCTCTGCTTTCTACCCAAGCATATTTGGTTTTACTGACTCAAGTTTGAATGCGTTGATTGCCAGGTTGTTGTATCTTTGACACAAGAAGCCCTTCTTAGGTCAGCTGCCCCAGACCCTTCTGCGGTATCAAAGTTGTGATCAGGTAGAAACTAATTGTGGACACATGACATTTATTTAGCTGCAGGCTGCAGTAAATAACGTTTAATGACTTGATATTTGCCAAAATTTTCTTGTGAATGAACACAGCTGAGGGCTGAGGGCTGAAGGTAGGAGTTCGCCTCAGGAGCATAGATTTTACTTAAGTTGGGACTTTTTGATCGGCATTTTATGTGTTTGGTAATTGTACTCAAAACAAAATGATAAGGTTATATATTTTGTGCTCAAAAAGCTTAATGTTGCACGAGATCTGATGCATTAAAAATGCTGTTTCAACTTTCTAAGCAAGCATTCGATACGCAATGCTTTAGGTAAGATGCACATCGATTCATGAATGAGGTTGAAAATATAAATCTTTCTTATTATATCGATTCTGTTGTCATCTAGATTAGGAAGTAAGAAACAAGAACATCAAATCAAATAAAATAAATACTAGCTAATTAATCTGAGAAACAAAAACATTTAATCGAATAATATGTCTAACTGAATTATGAAATTCGTGCACTTAATGAAACCAAGCTCTCCACATATGCAGTTGCATTGATCGGAGAGTCAGGAAGGTAAAGACCATGAATTGCACAATCTGTCCCGTGCATGATCATGTGTTCAAACCATTGGCTGAGAGTGGTTACCGGTTTAAGGTCCTATCAGGAGCGAAACTGCATTATATTTTAAGTTTTAAAAAATTAAAAATAAAAGACTATAAGCCCAAAATTATATGAAAACAAATGGCCTGGGCTTTATCTTAAATCTCTTCAAGATTATGGTTTTAAGAGAAACGCCCTATGCTCCATGTTTTCCTGGGTCTGCCCCGGGGCTATGATTATAGTTTTTGATTAGGTTAAAAAATCCAGCAATGGAGTACAGGTACACTTATTATTTATAAATATTTTATTTATTTAAATAAATATCGTACCATCAACTGTTAAAAAAGGAGAAAAAATTGTAGTTTAAGGCCCTGTTTGGTAGTTCTTCTTTGATCTTTTGTTTTTTTTTTTATATTGTTGATGTGATAAGTTTAAATTTTTATTTGAGAGAAAGTTTAAATATTATTTTTAAAAATTAAAAAAGTGAATAAAAAGAGAGATCATGAAATGCTTGAATTTGGTATTTTTAAATTTTTATTATTTGAAATCTTTTTAAAATTAAAAAAAATTTTAAAATATAACTTCTAAAAAAAATTTAATTTATAAAATATAAATAATATCAAAAAATTAAACTCTTTAAAGCATTACCAAGCAGGCCTAAGAACGTAGATACAAGATCTTGCCCGAAATATATATCTGGCCCAAAAGATGAGGTCCAGATCTAATAGACCCCAAAAAGAGAACCGAAAAATCGTAAGAAAATCGATTCATATTTGCCTTTGTACTTCCGACGTTCATGGTTCATCCTCGCGGTGGCATCACCGGAGAGTCGGGGACGAGTTTGAACGTGCAAAGCTTAGCGAGACGCGAGTTTCTCTGGTCAGTATCTTCTTCTTTTATAAAGTATTCTTATACATTATCATTCTTTCTTTTCTAATCCCTAATTTTCTTAAGTTTCTTTGTGTTGTTTTTTGGATTTTCAATTGAAACCTAATTGGGATGATGAAATTGAAATATCTGTTGATAGAATTCTTCTTGTTCGTTGCTTAATTTTGGTTTTATTTGACCTTTTGAAATTCATAGTTATCTGCTTCTTTAAATGTCCGATCTTGTGATATATTTTGAAATAAAGCTGTAAATTTGGAAAGGAATTGCTTAGTTTATGGCCAATATTCAGCTCATTTTGATATTTTGGTTCTTTTTTAGGCTATTGCGCAGTAATTTTTTTGTGGATGATTCGATCTTAGGGGGTATAAGTTACTTATTTGGGTCTAATAGGTTTTTGGAATCTCGATTTAGGATTTTTGAAATTTTGGGACAGACGTAAATTCCCAAATAGATGAATATGAACCTAGTGCCATATGGGCCACCTGAAATTTGGAACCCTTGAAATGTAATATGTGTATATATATATATATATAT